GAAAGAAATCTATAAAATTGTAGTGGCATTTTGAGTTTGAAAAAGCAATGAATAATTCCCACTCAGAGATATTGCACACATATAAAAACTTGCATTTTTTCATTTTCTAGCCAATATTTAAAATAAATAGAGTTACAGAATTGGGAAAGAATATCCAATGAGAAATCGCATACAAATATACTGCCACATTTCTTACAACTTTAAGTTATTGTTTTATTTTGTTAAAAATACTAAGCCAAGCCACAATTATTTCTCTTTACTACACAAGGTTCCACTTTGGGAATTTATTTAACAATAAATTGACCATTATCACTTTGGTCCCTGGGTATGTGTTGAATTGTATACTGTACAAATAAAGTAATTTAATGTAGTTTCTATTGAGACAAAAAAATGTAATCATCTGTGGAAAGTGAATTCAGACCACCTAGAGATGCTGTGGTAGCGTCATGAAAATAAGCTAATTCTGAAAGAGCCTATCTATAATGTGTGTAATTGGGCCAAAGTCTTCCATTAAATATTGGGAAAACAACCCAGTGAACCCACAGAGAGACATTGACTTAATCTGGACTTTTGCACAGGGGCAAGGGTTGTGTCCTAATGGATTCTGATACAAGATATAGTGATCCATTTGCTTCATTATTTGAGCTATTGAATTACTGTTTTCCCCACCCTAGGCTTTCTCAAGCAATTGGCTGTCTAGTAACAGGATACTTCTAATACAGTGGTACCTCAGGTTACATATGCTTCAGGTTACATATGCTTCAGGTTACAGACTCCACTAACCCAGAAATAGTACCCAGGGTTAAGAACTTTGCTTCAGGATGAGAACAGAAATCGTGCTCTGGTGGTGCAGCAGCAGTGGGAGGCCCCATTAGCTAAAGTGGTGCTTCAGGTTAAGAACAGTTTCAGGTTAAGAACGGACCTCTGGAACGAATTAAGTACTTAACCCGAGGTGCCACTGTATATGTAAAAACCTATCTTAAACTAAATAATATCCCACCTTTCTTTTCCCAAATGAGGGGTGGGGCAGGGTGTAAACTCTCCCCCCCCACCCCACTATTCGGGTTTTTAAATATCTTATGTGTCATTAGACCATAGAACTGATGCAATTACTTGCTTATCCCAAATGATTTTCTCTCTTTGCACACAGCTTTTGAGAGATGACAAGGGCTCCATGCTTTAAGTGTTGGGGGCAATAATAATCAAATATTGTGTACTTAATTTTTCTCTCTTGCAATGACTTCATTTTTGGCTCAGTCCCTTTTAGTGTCTCTGTATTCTGTCCCCCAAAATGGATTTTCCATTCAAGTATTTGTGGTGTCTTCAGTTTTACATAAAACCCATTTTGTAACAGCCTCAACAATGTAGTACTCATCATTAATATGTCATTTATTCCTCTTAGTATCTATGGGGAACCCTCAAAAGAAAAAACAGAAGTGTGCATGCACACGAAAGCTCATACCAAGAACTAACTTAGTTGGTCTTTAAGGTGCTACTGGAAGGAATTTTTTTGTTTTGACTATGGCAGACCAACACGGCTACCTATCTGTACCTCAAAAGAAAGTTAGTGTCTAGCACAAATTTTCTGCTATATTAGGTCTGGCGGACCTTCAAATGTTGTTGGACTGCAACTCTCGTAATCTCTAATCGTTGGCCATGCTTGCTGGGGTTTATGGGAGTTGGAATCCAATAACAGCTGGAATGCCATAGCCCCCCTACTCCTGAAATAGATATTTCTTTATTTGTTTATTTTACTTAAATTATTAATAATCTGCTCTTAATTGGCCACATAATCCCAGAGGGAGGAATAGCATTAAAATGCAGTAAACCCATAATTCATTTTAATATAACTGAACATAAAATCAAACAATATGGTAACATCATAGCTACATCAGCCAAGTGTGGCCACTACTTTAACAACATGCTTTAGTGAATAGCAACTTTTTCAACTAGTGTTGAAACTCTGTTGGTGCTGTTGCTAATTGCACCTGGCAGTGAGGCAAGGAAGAAGGGCTACCCCTATGCTATCCATATAATCAGTTATCAGTAATCAATATATTCATATATGCTCACACATAATCAAGGCTTACAGTATTTTATAATCCATTTTGAATCAAAGGGAAGCTGTGCCTTAGCTAACTGCAAACTGCTTGAAACAGCAAAGTTAGGAGCCGACCTTTCCCCTACAAACATCCGTGTACCCTGGACAAGGGGAAGACGTGAATCAGAGATACTGGTACAAAATCCCCTCAGATACAGGCTAAAATAATCCACAGAACAGGAAGAGCGAAACCACAAAATCTCCAAACTCCCTGTCCTGTCATAACTAGGGGAGAGGTTAGACAGAGCGTCACTGCAAGCATCGGAAAGCAGAACTGGAACTCCATGCTTGACCAGTGCTTGACCAGGAGCTGGTAGCGTGGCAAGAAGCTTGCTAATTGGCTAATTTTTGCTGACAATATCGTGACTGTCTCATGGTTGTCTCATGATCTATGATTTGCTGTGATCTGCTCAGGTATAAAGACCTCTGGATTTCTGTCAATCGGGGTCCCAGTTCCTTTTGGAAGAGATTCCAAACTGGGTCCTTATTGCCTGGCAATAAACCTTACCTTCTTATTCTCCGTTGCTAAGTCTGCCTGATCCTTATTTATCACCAAGCGAGTACCCGCTTATGTTCACGTGCTTCAGCAGGAGGGTGCATTCCAGAATTGGAATGCCACTAGACTAGCCTTGATGTGCTTGTGATGCATCCTGTCCACAATAAACTGTTGTGTAAGCCCCCTTGAAATGAATGGGGTTTAGGAAAGATATTCCTGGGGGATTTTGCCCAGTACCATTGATTTAAGAGTACAGTGGTACCTCTAGATACACACGTCACTGGTTGTGTATCCTTCAGGATGTGAACGCGGCCAACCCGGAAGTATTTTTCCGGGTTTTGCCACGCACGCAAGCATAGAATTGGCATCTCTGGTTGCGAATTCCTCGGGATCCGACTGGAGCTCCAGAACGGACCCCGTGCACAACCAGAGGTACCACTGTAGTTTCAGCACAATCATTAATATGCATTTTGCACTCATGGAGTCACAGTGAATTTGCGTTAATGAATGTACTTATATTAAACTATTTAACTATAATGTTAAAAAAGGCTATTTAATGTTAACATGGAGTTGAAAGTTAAAGCTTAGTATTAGCATTCTTTGATTAATAAGCCAGCTCTGACAAGTCTCTGTTGACTGGATTATTACTTCCTTGGGGAAAAGGGTCTTAAATTCAATTTCAAGAATCAAATGCATTTTTCCACATTTTAGAATTTTATGTAAGAAATCAACATAAATATTGCCTTTCTAAAAATGATCCAAGGGTGGTGGTTGTCCTCCCGCCCCCGGCCGATTACAAACAAATGACAAATGTGGGGGTGCATGGAGGAAAGCAATAGTGCAGAACACATTAAAGTACAAATATTCCTACTCCGTCCCTGCAAATGACCTGGTGCCCAAATATTTGAAAGAGAACATCTTTCAGAATCTGCTAACCCAGTTTTTAAGATCTGCAGGGGAGGCTCTTCTAATGGTTCTGGTTGATAGATATGGCCTATTATGCAGTGGCCTGGAAGACATCCTTCCCATTGGTGGCACCTCACTTGGACAATTCCCTGCCTCTCAAGGTGTGTTTCACACCCTTGATGCAAGGTTTTCATTATGTATTTTATTTTATGGGAATCTCTATTTAAATGTTAATAAGTTTCTTACCTCCCAGAGAGGTGGTCAGCCTTGTCACATTAGTTCATGCGCTGGTTACTTCAATACTGGGTTACTGCAATTTGGTGCTTCCTTTGCTGCAGTTAGTACAGAACGCTGCAGCAAAATTGTTGACAAGGCTTTCCTGGTCAACAAATGGCCGTAGCCATGGAAGTTGGTCGAAGGCACTTCTAGCCACTGAGACTTCCTGAACCTACAGTGACAGAGCTGGATTTGCAAAACCCCCAAATATATTTAAGACATGCATTCCCCTAGGCCAGATCTTTCAAAACTTTCCATGTTTGTAGCACACGTTTTAGACATGCATCATTTTGCGATACAGTAAATAAGTTTTACTAGCAAACCAAAAGTTAAACTAACCCTTTTCCAGCCCTGGGAAGAGCATGGGGAGCATTCACAAGACACCTCTACACACTGCAGCCAACACACTAACATGTCACGACACAGTTTGAAAAGCTCTGCCGTAGGCATTTGAGACTGTGCTGGGTTATTTGTTCCGATTTGTATGCTGCCATATTGTCAATTAATTGTATTTTTTTTATTAAAAAAATATACATTGTGTATTATTGTTTTATGTGGTGTACACTGCTCTGCATAGGAGCCAGCTCCTAAAGGATGAAGTCCCCCCCTAAAATATTTGATGGGGCTGGAGGGCCCCAAAGTTGATGAGCATTGCCATTCAAATGGTGTGTGCGTGCCACGTCTTGTGGGATGGGGACTTACCTATTTTATTCAAGTTGGCATCCCTGCTGCCCTGAGGACAAAGGACAGTCTATAAATAAAATTAACAACAACAACAACAACGGGGTATGGGTGGGTGGGTGGTATTTCTCCCACCCACTTTGTTGTTAGTCACCTTGAATTTTTGGAAAGACCAATTATAAATGCTTTGAATAAGTAAATGTGGGTTTCTAAATCTCTTTGCAATCTTTATAAGATTTCAGAGAGCATATAGGTTTTCACAAAATATTGTTCAGAGCTGCCTACTGACTGTTCCACTGTTTTCTTGTTAAATGTTTAGAACTGTCTAAGCATTGTGACCCTGTAGTGAACATAAGCAATCCTAATTTTAGCTTTTTGCTTTTTGTCACTTTTTCTTCAGCCCCATTATTATTCATTGAAATTCTACATGAAATAGATAAGGGAATCGCTCTGTATAAAACCCCCACCAAACTGGAGATGGGAAATGCTTCTTTTATTTCAGACTTGAATATTGATGGAGACTTTATTCTTGTTTTTCAGAGCTGTGACCTGCCCCAGCAGAGTATCGTTCATATTGTTCAGAATCCACAGAAAAAGGATGAAGAGGTTGAGACGGAAAGCAAAAATGTCTCTGGCATTCTAACAAGCAGTGGAGGAGAAGCTGAAAGCCTCACTCGGGTGGATCTCAATACCAACCTGCTGCCTTCTCATTCAGCTGGCCTTGCTGTGATTTTAGACACTGTGGATGACGGCAGCTCCCCTCTATCTGGCAATTCTGGTAAGTTGCTGAACCCACACAATCCAAAATACAGAGGGTTTCTTTTAAAGCTGATTGTGCAGTAGGGAAATCACAACTTTCCCCTGTCTTTTTGGTGAACCATACATAAAAACCCCGGAGGCTGGGGCACTGTTTTCGGTGTTCTTTGAGCCCTGTTGCTTATATTCAAGGGATGCATGCTGTGATTATCCTGAGTTTGCTTGACAAGGCTGCTGCCATTTTAGAGTTCCCCAAATCCATTTGGGAATCAGCAGCCAGTCATGCTGGTGTGCATGTTTCTTTGTTTAATCTTCACTGTCATAGACAAGAAGCACATTGTGTATTCTGTTTAGTCTGCCAGCCCTCCTGGGAATCTCTATTTAAATGTTAATAAGTTTCTTACCTCCCAGAGAGGTGGTCATTCAGCTCCCAGGCACAATGTCATTCAACACTTGCCAGGGATCTAGAGGCATGGAGGGATGATCTTCTTGCTAAAGAGGGATGTTTAGATTTAAGGAGCAAGAAGCACAGCTCTCTTCATCCTTTTGTAGCATTCTACATGATAGAGAGTTTAAGGATCATTAGAGTTTAAGGGCTTTGTGGCCAGCAGTGGAACAGGCTGAGGACCACAATCATAGTATTATGTTGGTTGAAGCTTTCCTTCTCTGGCTGCCAGGGAACTGGTAATCTGATGCCATATCCTGGTTTTCCAACTCTTTTGGAATAATTTGGAAAGGAGATTTAAAAGTTGTGATGTGGAGAATTAGGTTCCATTCAAGCAGTGCAGTGAAAGAGTTGTTCAGCAGTGGAGAGGTGATGGAGAGGTGATGGAGGTTTTTAAGCAGAGGTTGGATGGCCGTGTCTCATGTATGATCTTAGTTGAGTTTCCTGCATTGCAGCGGATTGGACTAGATGACCCCCGGGTCCCTTCCAACTCTACAACTATATGATTCTATGGTTCTATACATGTTTTGAATATCTAGTGGCACATCCCTTCTGGGACAATACCTGAGGAAGACTCTCAGACTCTCAGACTGCATGGCTGGGGGAGACTTGCGTGTTTGAATACTCTTCTACAAAAAAGAAAAAGAAAACCCTCAACACCTGCTCCCTGGATTGTATCCAATTTATGTCATACTCCGAGCAGACTCACTGAAATCAGTTGACTTAAGGTAGTCATAACTTCAATGGTTTCATGATTTCAATGGGTCCACTCTGAGTATGACTTGTTTGGATACAACCCCCTGTAGGTAGAAAGCTAGCATAACTGAGAAAAGGGCTGTAGCATAGCTTTCACTTTGATAAGCTCATTTTCTATGGGCAAGGCTCTTTAAACCACTCAAGCATGCAATAACCTACCATCACCATTAAGTGGTAGATCCAGGAAGGACTATATACCATATTTTTCCATGTATAAGACTATATTTTCCCGCAATTTTTTTAAGTTTAAAAATGGAAGTCGTCTTATACACAGATAGTGCATATGGGGGATTTCTTTATTTGGAGTCCCCAAAAATAGGGGTTGTGTTATACATGGAGACGTGTTATACATGAAAAAATATGGTAAGTTTTGAACATAAAGTTCAGTGCTTACTCTTCCCCAAATATCACCACCTAATATTTAGAAATAAATGGCAGTATGTCATCATATGGTCTTATCATTTCCCTCATCTGAACTATGAATGTGGACTGCATTTACAGGATTCCTTCCCCTGTTCTGAAGCAGTGGTTCTGTACGGAACTTGGTAGTGAATTCTGCAGGATCCATTAATTTTGCAAATACAGATATAGGAACAAAAGAAAAGCCCCACTGGATCAGGCGAAAGACGCATCTAGTCTTCCATCCTATTCTTACAGTGGCCAACCAGATGCCTTTAGGAAGTGCCAAGCTAGACCTGAGTGGAACAGTGCCCCCCTGCCTTGGGATTCTCAGTAACTGGTTTTCGGCGGCATCCTTCCTCCCGAGGGTAGAGCTAGAACATAGCCATTGTGGCTAGTAGCCATTGAGAATCTTATTTTCCGTGACTTTGTCTAATACTCTTTTTAAAGTTGGTGGCCATCACTACATCTTGTGGGAGCAAATTTCATAGTACTTTCTTTTGTCAGATCTGAATTTTCCACTATTCAGCTTCAGTGTTGTTTAGTTGTTTAGTTGTGTCCAACTCTTCGTGACCCCATGGACCAGAGCACGCCAGGCACTTCTGTCTTCCACTGCCTCCCGCAGTTTAGTCAAACTCATGCTGGTAGCTTCGAGAACACTGTCCAACCATCTCGTCCTCTGTCGTCCCCTCTCCTTGTGCCCTCCATCTTTCCCAACATCAGGGTCTTTTCCAGGGAGTCTTCTCTTCTCATGAGGTGGCCAAAGTATTGGAGTCTCAGCTTCAGGATCTGTCCTTCCAGTGAGCACTCAGGGCTGATTTCCTTTAGAATGAGTAGGTTTGATCTTCTTGCAGTCCATGGGACTCTCAAGAGTCTCCTCCAGCACCAGCACTGTAATTCAAAATCAGCTTCAGTAGATGGCCTCAAGTTCTAGCATTGTGTAAGAGAGGGTAGAAACTTCACAACACCATGCATCATTTTATCCATTTCTATCATATCCCCCCTCACTTATTTGCTTTTTTAACAAACTAACACTGATTATTCTAAGTAACTAAATAGCTTTATGTGATTTTAAAAGAACTGTAGAAAAGAAACTGTAGAACTGTAGAAAAAAACTGCAAATCGCAAGAGGGTTCCCAACTTCTACAATTGACTTGATCAACCTCATGCTGCCAACTAATGATGAATGAGTGCAGTTTAGGACCGAATTAGTGCCTCACAATGCTCCACACATCACATTCTGAATGAATAATGTGGCAAGAGGGGTGCCTTGTCATTTCAATCTGATCAGCTCAGGTGGATGTAGTCCACATTTTATATTGTTTCTTTCTTCAGGTGTGTGTACACCTGTATTCAGTATTTGATTTTTTATTATTATTTGCAGGCTGCTGCTTGTGTTGGAATAGCTATCACATCTGCTTAGGTTTCCCACAGTGCATTAGTATTTGGTTCTGCTGTCTGCTACTCATAACTCCCCCAGCCATAACGAATCCCACTTTGACAAACCAAAACTTAGCAAAGAGTCCTGATGGCAGGCTGACAGCACAGCAGATGCAGATGGCCCCTGTCTTTCCAACTACTTCATTTTATGATTCAGCTCAACTATATCTTACTTGTCATGAATAAGACAGCCTAGCTGAGTGACATTTCTGCTTGACTGGTAGTTAATGACAAGGAGTCTCTGGTGGGATGTTTTCTTTTCCTCAGGATATTCCAAGTTTCGCTATGACTAAAGGGAGGCAAAAAACATGGTTTTAATTTAGGGTGTTGATGATGATGTAAGCACAGCCATCTGTACTAGTGATAATTGTGACACATGGTTTCCGTGTTCTTTGAGGTAGTTTATGGAGGAAGATGCAAAACTGACAGGGATAGGACATTTGATTGATTTACCTCCAGAACAGATAACATCTTGTGTTGTTTAATTGTAGGGAGAAAGGAGGGACACTCTCATTTCCACAGTATCTATATGTAAGGGTGGAGAAAGCCATGCACTCTGATTTTGATTATTTTGAATGATTGCTGGATACTTGTATATTTGTTCTTTTGGCATTGTTACTTGTTGCTTGTAATGTATGACTGCAGAGTAGTTGGCAGATTTAATACTTTGTCTAATAGGCAAAGAACCTCCAAATATATTCGATTTGATGTTACTTTATCGGTATACATGAGGGACAGGGAATCCTTGGCCTTGCAGATGCAGTTGGGCACTAGTTCCATCAACTGCAGCCAGCATGGGCAATGTCCATGGAGTTGTAGTCCAGTGTTATCTGATAGGGCAGAAGGTGTCTGTCTCTGGAAACTTAGAGTAGTGTAATGGGCATAGGGTGGTTAGATGAAAAAGAAGATGGTTCTCCTTCCTTGCTTGACAAACCAATAGCTGCATCCAGAACAGAAAGGAGGGCAAGGGCCAGGTAAAGTGTATGGGAGGATGGAAGTATTTTTCTATTTGTTCTGTTTGCTTCACAAAGGGCAGGAGCAAATGGAGACAGCTAGCTGTCTGAGCACAGTGGGAATCCAACAGCCCCAGAAAGCCAAAAAATGGGGAAGCTGAAGAGGTGTGAGTCTCCCTTGGTTGGTGAAGGAGCAAGGACAAATAAAGCAAGGTCAAGACTCTAACCCGGGAGTGAAATAAACAATTTTTCTGTAGCCCCTTCCTGAAATGGTAAGAATGGAGGCTCTTTAAAAGGGCTAAGACTAGATCTTTATGTTGTTTAGTTGTGGATTATTAGAGAGCATTTTAAAAAGTGTTCTGTGTTCCACTTTTGCCTGCGGCAAATGAGAAACCCAAGTTTCTGAGTTGCTTGTCACATTTCTAAAACTTATACTGTCAAATTAGTTTCAGGTCAAGTAACAGTATGATGTGCCTCCCCTCTTCCCTATTTTAATAAAGGATTAGGCTGAGAACTCTTAGTCCTAAAATAAACTGCATTTTTATTTCTTTCATCATCTTCTTGAGAACACCATCTAATGTGAGCATTGATCCATCCAAAATGGTCTCCAACATAGCATGCACATCTATATTGATATTGTGGAACATGAACCTGCATAAACACTCAACAAGTGAACCAGCTAAATCTAAGACAAGTACAACGGCAAAGTTATTACTGCTTATGACCCATTTTCAGCCTCCTCCATCAAAAACAAAAACAAACCCTGGATGTCTAAAAATTTACCATTTTATATACAAAAACCGAGCCTTTATGTTCAACACAGGTCTTTGTTTGTTTGTTTTGCAACCACACACACGTTGCACAAAGAAATAATGTCCCTATTAGCCCAGTACCAGTCTTGGATGGCTTAATGTTATAATGCATTTTGCAGATAAATCTACTTTTAGTCCATGTTGATCAGTGTGAATCAATAAATGTATGGCAGAAGAGGTATCTTCTTCAATTTGCATACATTAATTAGTTTATCTT